TGAGTACATCCCATGTTTTTAAGCAATGTCCTGAGTAGGTAATGGGAATTGGTATCTCTCAAACTGTAACATTAAAATAAGGGTTCGCAGTGGCTCACGCCTGTAATCCCAGCACTTTGGGAGGCCGAGGCAGGTGGATCACGAAGTCAGGAGTTCGAGACCAGGCTGGTCATTTGTACTAAAAATACAAAAATTACCCGGGCGTGGTGGTGCACGCCTGTAGTCCAAGCTACTCAGTAGGCTGAGGCAGGAGTATTGCTTGAACCCAGGAGGTGGAGTGAGCCAAGATTGCACCACTGCACTCCAGCTTAGGCGACAGAGTGACACTTCGTCTCAAAAAAAAAAAAGAAAAAAGTGTTTAAATGAAGCATTAATCATTAATGCAGGTCAAATATTTCAGTAAGCAAGTTTCAGTAGTTTATAACAATTAAAAAGAAACCTGTTAAATGCTAGTATCTGAATTTTATAAAAATAAGTAAATTTATTATTGATGGCAACTAAATGATATCTATAGTTTTTATCATTCAATAGATTCTATCCATTCACTATACTTTTCTGGGTTGTCCTACAGCAAGTACATGTTTTTAATGGTGTCTGTCTTTTGTGCAGTTCCTGTAAGTTTGCTATTAAAATACATTAAGGCTGAGCATGGTGGCTCACACCTGTAATACCAGCACTTTTAGGGGCTGAGGAAGGAGAATCACTTGAGGCCAGGAGTTTGACACCAGCCTGGACAATATAGCGAGGCCTCGTCTCTACGAAAACAATTTAAAAATTAGACAGGTGTGGTGGCACATGCCTTGTAGCCCCAGCTACTTGGAAAGCTGAGGTGGGAAGATCTTTTGAACCCATGAGTACAATGCTGCAGTGAGTTATGATCATGCCACTGCACTCCAACCTGGGTGACAGAGCAAGACCCCATTTAAACTATATTTTAAAAGAGTTCCTAATTCACAGGTCTCCAGTGATATAGTTAGAGTACAAAGAGAGGCTCATGGCAATTCCTGGGGAAGGATGGTCAGTTACCCAGACAATACCTATAGGATAGCATTTCCTCAGAGAATCATCACAGTCTCAGGACTCAGAGAAAATCCAGTCCAGAGGGGTATCTTTCCCTTAGCCAAACTCATAGAGGGTAATTATGACAAGCCAACAAAGCAGAAAACCGAATACCATTTTTAAAATGGACTCTGAGCAATGTAACTATTGTGGTCTGGATAGTTATATTTTCTGATCAGCCCTACATGTAAACCAATATGGGAAGATACGTTTATCATATGGTTGCTTGATGAATCTGGAAGTCAAACAAGGTGAATTAGTCGTACGGTTTGTGTCCTCAAGCAACCAACCCCAACAAAGTCCAATGGACCAGAGATTCATATTTTTGTGCCAAGGCACCCTGTCCCTGGGACAATGCTGGAGATGGATTACCAAATATTGTCATTCTAGGTTGTTCTTTTATAGATGTCAAGCAGTCAACTCCCACCTATTAACATATTTCTTTGTTTGAGACATGGTCTTGCTTTCTTACCCAGGGTGGAGTGCAGTGGCACGATCATAGCTCATTGCAGCTTTGATCTCCTAGGATGGCGCAATCCTCCCATCTCAGCCTCCCAGGTAACTAGGACTATAGACATGTGCCACCATGCCTGGCTAATTGCTTTTTATTTTTTGTAGAGACGATGTCTCACCATGTTGCCCAGGCTCATCCTGAACTCCTGGCTTCAAGTTATCTTCCAGCCTCGGCCTCCCAAAGTGCTGGCATTACAGGTATAAGACACCATACCCAGCTTTGAGTTATTTTTAAAGATTGTCGATTTATCCCATATATTTTATTTTTTCAGAATTTCAGTTTTATAAGATAAATTCCTTTTGATAAGTATGTTGTTGTTGGCTCAACATACTACCTACATAAATTTTTCACATACTTTGCAGATTATTTCTTTCTGTTTCAATGATCTTTCTTATTATAGGGTCCAATTACCATCTAGTTAATAATATATAGTGGTTAAGAGCTCCAACGATAGAATTGTGTTTTTGTGAAAGTTATTTAAGTTTTTTAAGCTTCAGTTTCCTTATCTGAAAAATAAGTATATCTACCTCAAAATATTGTTTTGAAGATACAATGAGGTACTATAAGTGCATGTAAATGACTTAACACAGCAACTAGCATATAGTAATTTTCCTACTAGTTCCATTATTAGTTCTGAGACTAATCTTTAAAAAAAATTACATTTGGCCAGGTGCCTGGTAGCTCACGCCTGTAATCCCAGCACTTTGGGAGGCCGAGGCAGGCAGAACACCTGAGGTCAGGAGTTCGAGACCAGCCTGGCCAACATAGTGAAACCCTGTCTCTACTAAAAATACAAAAGTTAGCCAGGTGTGGTGGCACACACCTGTAGTCCCAGCTATTTGGGAGGCTGAGGCAGGAGGATGGCTTGAACTCAGGAGGCAGAGGTTGCAGCGAGCCAAGATCGTGCCACTGCACTCCAGCCTGGGCAACAGAGTGAGACTCCATCTCAGGGAAAAAGAAAAAAATTACGTTTGAGTTTTCCCCAAATATTTTATCGCAATCTATCTACAAATCATCAATGAGCTAATATTTTAGTAGTAGAGGCAATCAACAACTAATTAAATAATGTTTAACAGCAAGTTTAGAGTTAGGGTTATGAACTGGCCTAAAGAAAACCAAAGCAGAGTAAGGGGATAAAGAGTAATGGAAACAGTAATTTAGATAGGGTAATCAAGGAAGTCCTCCTTCAGGAGATCACATTGGAAAAGAGGCCTGGATGAAATGAGGGAAGGAAGTATGTGACTCTCCCATTCATTATGTGAATGTGTGCTGGCTGTGGTGCTTGCTAACTGCATCCTTTTGGTTCTTAGTCACACTTCTTTATATGGGTACTGAACTATTTATAATTATATGACTTAGTACACCAACCAGATTTTACAGTCAGGGAAGGAAGTGACTGTACTTCCTGTGTTCTTTGAATATCCTCCACTGGTTACATAGTTCCCATTACTAACTTAGTGCTTATTGGATGGTTTCTGGTCAGTTTTGTAAATGAACTTGGAATTACAAGTCCTTTGAAGAGCAATAAAGAATAATGGAGAATAAATAGAGAAATAAAACATACAATTTCAGCTCTGTATATTTAAGATTGGCAAAAACAAAACAAAACAACCACATACATGCATATATAAAAACCTAATCGTTAAATCTTTGACATGGTAGAATCTCAAATAGGCAAAGACACATTAATGGCCATAAAACACATGCAACAAAGTATATACAAAAATGGAGATTTTCCTGAAACTCTGTGCTTGAAAAAAATAAAGAAAAATTGTTAAAAACTATTCAAAAATGGAAATAAACTAAATCATAAAGAATAGAGCATCCATAAGTATTGTAAAAGTATGAGTCTTGATGGACAAGAGGGAGTTCTTTGGTCAACAGAAAACTTAATAAAAATGGAAACTGTTGTTTAAAAAAAGTTTTAAGAACACCACTAGCTTTCAATCCTATAGGTATTTCCTTGCTAATCTCATTGATTTTCTTCTGTTATATAACAGCTTCGTGAAAATAGGACATCTGGCCAGGAATGGTGGCTCATGCCTGCAATCCCAGCACTTTGGGAGGCCCAGGTAGGGGGACCGCTTGAGCCCAGGAGTTTGTGACCAGCCTGGGGAACACAGCTAGACCCCCCTGTCTCTGCAAAAAAATAAAAAAATTAGCTAGCCATGGTGGCCCATGCCTAGTTGTTTGGGAAGCTAAGGTGGGAGGATCCCTTGAATCCAGAAGGTCAAGGCTGCAGTCCAGCCTGGGTAACAGAGCAACACCAAGAAAAGAAAGAAAGAAAGAAAGAAGGAAGGAAGGAAGGAAGGAAGGAAAGAAAGAAAGAAAGAAAGAAGGAAAGAAAGAAAGAAAGAAAGAAAGAAAGAAAGAAAGAAAGAAAGAAAG